TGTGAAAACAGCAGTGCAGTCTGCAAAGCAGACTGATTAGGGACAAGTGCTTCTCCTTCCTGAGTGCTGTGTGATTCTGGAAAGGTCACCTTTCCAATGTGGCACTCTCAGGCCTAATTAGGGTTGAAGTAGAGGAAATTGTACCCGCCGTTTGGCTCCCAGGTGCTTGACATATAAAGAGCTGTGGGAGGGGAAGGCATCATTTAAAAATAGGGCAGCTTTGTTTGTTGTGTTCCTGTTTGAGAAATGTGTCAACTGCATCAAGAAGATCCTTGAGCCCCTTTTAAAATCAGATTTCTTTGGGGAAGGCATTAATCTATTCAGAATACACTGAATTAGGGGGAGCAGCACAGAGGCTAGGAAGTTATATGAAGGGGATGAGTGAGACTACAGATGCTGGGCTGATCTGGCAGCCTGGTGGCAATTGAAGACAAACTTCAGTTAGCTCCCAAAAAGTGCATGCATCTTACATTATAATCTGCCTGGCAACTGACTCCCCAGCCCAGCCCCTGGCTTCCTTACTTTTCATTCCATCCAGGAAGAGCACACACCAGCTGCTGAAACTTCTTTAGCCTGACAAAGGGTTTTTGAACTCGAAAGCTTGCTTAATAACTATTCTCCAACTATTTGGGGTGGTCTAATAAAAGATATCAGATTCACCCAAGGAACCTTGTCTGCCTATGCATCTTACAAGGACCTTTGTATGGAGAAACCAGAGGTCCAGAAATTAGACCATGGGCTTGGGAAACAGGACTTTTGATTTCTTCTGCTAGCTCCATCATCTGCTCTCCATAAGACACCGAGCAAGTCACTTGACTATTCTGTGTCTCATTTTCCCCACTCGTAAAATTTCACTGTTAAAAGTGACCCACCTGCCCAGGTAGAAGTCTGCACTGGTAGAGTGTCACCTGCTTGGGGTGCTGAGAATGATTTTATTTATTCATGTTTGTAAATCATATTAATATTTCAAGGAAGCTGAAATGCACTAAGCAGAGAATGGATGAGGGTAAACCCAAAGGTCTTTAGGAAGTATCTATGGAACTGTGTGAATGGCTTACATGGTCATTTTATTTTAAAAAGCAGGATAAGTAAAGAGAGTTTGAGGATAACAGGAAGAGGGAGAAGGATTTGGGTTTCCTTTTGTTTCAAGCACTATAATAAATAATGATAATACTTTGCTTTTTCAGTAGCACCTTTTTGTCCCTGGTTCTTAAAACTCTTTACGTTCACTAATGAGTTAGATCTGCTGTCACAGCCCTCCCGTGGCTTAGGTAAGGTATGGATATCCCTATTTAACAGAAGTGGAAACCGAGTCAGAGGATGTCACTGAGGAGGGTCACCACAGCCCTGTGCTAATAAGAAGAACCATGACACCGATGAGTAGGTTATCACTCTGTTGCTCAAGGAGGCCAGATATGAGAAGCACAGGTCCTTGGAGCTGTGTGCTCTCTGTTGTATGCTCCAGGCAGGTGCAGGTAGAATACACCTGCAGTGCTGCTGAATATTCCAGCTCCATCACCTCCACTGGTTTCAGCAGCAAGTCTACAGAAAGGCAAAAGGGTAGAGCAGGAGGAGGGAGGATGAGCACAGAAGAAAGGACTTAAAATATCACACATGTTCCTCCTTTTCCCTGCCACAGTTTCCAGTAGAAGGAAAACAGTGAAAGCAAAATGCAGCCTGGCGTGTGAGTATCTGACAGAGGAAGACTACACAGATCTGCTCTGGACCACATTATCAGAGTTCCCAGGTAAGTGCCAGTGTCTTGCCACAGGGTGCTTGCTTGGCCAGTCTCTGGGATCTGCCTCATAAAGCCACAAAGGCCTGTCTGGTTATGGATCCCATTCAAGCCACATGCCAGGCATTCAGGGTAACAAGTAAATAGGGTTTTATAACTCAGTGAATTTCTGTTGCAGTGGCATTTGCATGGCAATGGAGCATGCACAATGGGTGGCATATGGTAGCAACGGTTCTATTAGATGTACAAGTACTTCCTGAAGTAGTGATCGACTTGCAATGGTATAATATGAGGCTCTGGATATTATCACCACTCTAGATTCATGTTTCAGGGGTGAACTCGACCCTGGGGCAAAAAGAGCGCATTTCCATTGCAGCCAGTGGGATATGGAATGGGATAAAGCAGGGCTGGTGTTTGCAGACAGCTTGCAGCTCTGTTGAGCTAGCTTTTCTACTCATCATGCGACATCTTGCAAGTTTGTCAAACCCTGACTTTAAAAGCTCCTTTGGTGAAATAGGATCAGCTTATTCAAGCACAGCTGAATCAGACTTTTTCTGTCTGGCTCGGGAGGTGCTGACCAATGTTGTTAGGCCTGTCTCCAGCCACAGCTAGAACCCCAAATCTTGGCCTAGCTGAGGCTTGGAATGTCAGTCTTGCCAGGGTGTGAATGCAGGCTGTACTGCTTTGCAGCATACCTCAGCAGCTAGCCAAGGGAGTCCATCTCCCCTTTAGGTTAGGGCTAGGATGCAGCTGATGATAAGCTGGAAAGAGGCCAAGAGAATAAAGGAGGAGCTGTTGGCTCAAAAAATCTCATTGCCAGCTAAATTTGGCCTTCAGTGTAATTAGGATAGTCCAGTGTTAAGACTCCAGCATCGTTCTGTTCTGAGAACTGCTGTTGCACTTTAACACAGTCAGTGTCGGCAGGACTCTAGAGCTGATTCTCTCAGCTCTTTTGCCTGTGAAACACACATAACATAGCTGCTCCTTCGCTCTATGGTAAAACAGCGAATACCAATGCAAAAACAGCAGAAGTGTTCCATAAATACATCTCTTCTGTATTTGAAAAGCAGCAAGATGATGTGCTGGTATCACATGAGTTTGATTAAGTACTTTTCCAGTCCATTAGTAACCAAGGAGAATGTTAAACAACACCCAGTAGGGATAAACATTTTTAAATTAGTGAACACAGATATCTTTCACTAGAGAGTCCTAAAAAGATGACTGAGGAGATCTCTGGCCCACTGATGCTAATTTTTAATAAATATTGGAAAGCCAGGGAAATTCCAAAAGAAACATGCTAACGTTATGCAGTATTGAGAAAGAGCATGTGACTATAGGCCCCTTAGCTTGACAGCAGCCCTAGGCAAGATAATGGAATAATTGAGATAAGATTAAATTAATAAGAAATTAAAGAATAGAAATATAATTAATGCCAGTTAATTGGGTTTAACAAAAATAGGTCAGATCAGACCAACCTGATTCATTATTTGATGAGTCAACAAGTTTGACTAATAAAGGTAATCCTGTCAATGTAACATGCTTGGACATTTGTAAGTGTTTAATTTCATGTGAGACTCTGTGTAAAAAATCAGCACTAAGCTATAGCAGTGAAGCACACTTTAATGAAAGAGCTGGCTAATTTCCAAAATGATGGTCAATGGGAAATCATCGTCACATGGGGCGCTTCTGCAGAGATCAGTACCAGGGTCAGTGCTATGCAACAATTTCATCAATGATCTGGAAGTCAATATGAAATCATTGCTAATGCAATTTGCAAATGCCACATAGGTTAGTGGACTGGTAAATAATGATTAGGTCATGGCAGCATAAAGGAGGATTGGAATCAATCAGTAAACTGGGCCCATTCCGGCAAAATGTGTTTTAATACCGGCAAGTGCAAGTTCTACTTGTGAAAACAGGGAATGCAGGCCATGCCTACAGAATGGGGGCTAGATCCCAGAAAGCAGGGGTGCTGAGAAGGATTTAGGGACCACAGTGGGCGAGCAACTGAGTAAGAGCTCTTGGAGCTATGCTGTAGCAAAAAGGGCTAATTCAACCCTTGGATGCATGATGAGTAACAGATCTAGTGGGAAGGAAAAGAATTAGTTTGTGTCTTGTAGCAAAACCAACTCACAGGAATGGAGCAATCTATGTCTGTTCCCCTCCAGGTGTTCTGGTGACCCTATGGATTATTGATCGGATAGGCCGCAAGAAAACCATGGCTCTGTCCTTCTTTGTCTTCTCGTTCTGTAGTCTTCTGTTGTTTATCTGTGTTGGAAGGTAAGTAACCCAAGTGGAAAGCAAGCTCAGATCCATTGACTTTTCTGCATGGGACAAGAGGGAGAGAGAGGGATGGTTTTAAAGGCCAAGTTAAACTGTGTAAAGAATTCCAGGAGGGCGTTTGGCTCCTCTCCGCCCAGAAGTTAGAAGAAAAGTAAGGGAAGTATGTGGAGAGAAATCCTGCCCTCGTAATACTTTGAAGGAGGCAATCATTTACAGCAACAGGGGAAACAGCTCTGCAGAAACATTTTGCATTAATCTGATGCAGCACGGCTCAGCTGCTGATGCAGAGAGCAAAGCTGGTACCTCTGGCTTTTTGTTATGGGTTGTATTGGCCTTCTCCTGAGTCTGTGAAGACACACTAGGTTAGGCTCATGGCAGCAGCCCTGTCTTCCATGCAGCTGCCCACGCCAGTTCACAGCAGAGCTTGGCCCATAGTAGTGAAATGGAAACTCAGTGTTGCGCAGAAGGCAATGGCTGCTGATCGGCAAAGTCAAGGTCTTGGCTTGGAAACTGCTGCAGTGGTGGAACCTTCCTTGGCTGTCAGCTTTCAACAGAACAGCTGTTTGGCCTGCTCAGGAACCCATCGAGGCCAGGCATTCTGCAGCACGTAGCACCCAGCAGTTTCCACTATGGCCCAGTTTCCCAAGAGCCCATCATGCATGCACTGGGCTCAGGTCTCCACAACATCTATTTCTGATTGCAGGTGATGAGTCCTGTGGAATATTCTGGTCTTAGGTTCACTCGTGCACCAGGCCACTCCAAGCCTGAACAGCAGTCCATAGAAATTGCACCTTAGTTGCTGCCAGACTGTTTCTGATGGGGAGAACATCTAGGACATTTTCACGTGTTCTCTGGCTGAGGATAAATCTTAAATATATAAATAACTCCCCAAAAGTATCCATTTCTCATGCCCTGAATCTGGTTCTGAACTCATGTACACTACCTCTGCTCCAGGGGCACTAGCTCAGGGCTAGACTGGTGTGAGGTCAACCTTAGAGTGCATATTGTTCTCAGCCAGGCATCTTCAGGCTGCCAGAGGTTCACAGAATTTATTTCCTTGGTCACAAGCTGTTAATAGCGTGTTGAAATATAGGCTCTTAGAACAGTCCGTGTGATTGCCGAGACCAGCGTGTTGGGCATCATCATGCTCTAAAGATCTAAAAACTATGAGAGGGTGAATAAAATCAAAAGGAATCTATTTATCAAAATCCGGAATATTTTTTTAAGTTGCTCTTTATGTTTAAAGGAAGACTATTCAGAACCACCTAACCCCTGCTCTTGTTTCTCTCCTCTCAGAAATGTTCTTACTGTGCTGCTTTTCATCGCAAGGGCTTTCATTTCAGGAGGCTTCCAGGCTGCTTATGTTTACACTCCTGAGGTGAGAGTAGTCATTTCTGTAACGAGAAGGTTTAATTGGGGTGAGGTCCTGGTGTGAGAAAGCTGAATGCTATCGTCTCCTGATCATAGACGTGTATACGTTTCTTGAGTCCACTGCATTGTTATAGTTGCCTAAATGGCATTGACTTGACAGAACGTGTGCAAATCCTCATTGATTAAATGTGCTGCTGTTTTATCCAACAGGTTTATCCAACAGCCACTCGTGCTTTAGGGCTAGGTACATGCAGTGGGATGGCCAGAGTGGGAGCCCTGATCACTCCGTTTATTGCACAGGTAAAGTCCCCTCTTGTCCAAGCCTGGGGATGTGGTGGACAAAGCACAGCCAGAATTAGCCTATGTTGAATGCTCCTAATGCTTCAGGGAGAGATCCATGACTCAGGAGGGCAGAGGCCAGACAGGGTAAGGCTTGGTGGTTGGCTGCATCACCTCTGCCTACTGACAGAGCCATTCTCTGTCTGGGAAATGGATCTGCTGACAGCTTTCCTGATGGCTTACCAGGAGGCATCATCCCTGCTTGAGCCCAATCGGCAACCCCTCTGATGTCCTCCTGGGCTGCTCTAAGGGAGCCCAGTTCTTAAGAGCTGCAGTGGAGCCCACGATGATCTCCACCTGGAGGACAGTTCCTGTTTAACAGAAAATGGCTTCATTTATGGCAGAGGGGGCCAACAGGGCAGCCAAGATGGTATCACACCTCAGCTCTTCTCCTGATCTGTGAGAGACAATCCTGTTCTCCACAGATCAGAGGCACAGCACAGTGACCAAATAGTGAAGTCCATGTGTTTTTCACTCAGACCAGGGGCCCAAGATCAGCAGAAGAAAACTAAAGAATAAGAGAAATAGAGTAAGGTTGCTGCAGGTCAAGGATAATGCCCAACACTTGGAACAAGCTGCTACTGAGGGAGGTAGTGAGGTGGGAACAGAAATGATTGAAGAGCTCTAAAAACTCCTTCCTGTTACTAGTGGATCAGAGCCAGGAGGTTCAGAGCTGACCCTTCCCAAAGCAGGGATGGTTCAGCCATGGGATTTTCTTTGGTGCATATGGGAAAAGAAGCAGGAGTTTGAAGAAGAAAGGAGATGGCAAGAGTGAGAGACTGACAAATAGGTCAGTACTTCAGGCCTAGGGAGCTGTTTTCCATACCCGATATCATCCGGTTGTTTGAGTGATCACATAGGGAGGGCCTAACCTGGTGGTCTGCCGGCTGAGAGAGAGGCAACAACCCCTGGCTGCAACAACGGCTTTTTCAGTGGCTGGGCCATCCACTTTGTGGTAATTTTCCTGCCTCTAAGTGAGGGTAGTAATAGTGTCTCGCCCATGTAAGCCTTGAGCAAAGTATCCTGAAAGTATAGAAGGGCTAAGCATCACCCACACAGCAAGGAAAACACTCAATATGATGGTTTTCAAAAATCAGATTTTTTCCATAAAAGGAATTAAAATGTTGAGGCTGCAGTAAAACATGTTAGTTTTAGGGTAGACCCAGGTCAGTCTTTCACATTCTCTCGCTCACTTTCCTCCTAGGTCATGCTGGAGTCTTCAGTCTATTTAACTCTGGTGGTTTACAGTGGGTGTTGCCTCCTGGCAGCTTTGGCTTCCTGTTTTTTGCCCATTGAAACTAAAGGCCGTGGCCTGCAGGAATCTAGCCACAGAGAATGGGGACAAGAGATGGTTGGGAGAGGGTTGCACAACCCCGGAGTGACCAGGTCAAATTCCAGCTCTCAAGAATGACCGCATGGAGAGGGATGGTACATGGAAGAATTGCGTTTGAAAAAAGAAGCGAAGCGTATCAAGCTGACCGTACTGTCACTGCCAATGTCATGTGTCAAAATGCAGGAACTTTTGATTTGGACCTAAGCAAATTGTGTCTTTACTACTCTCTGCTCACACTCATACCAATGTTCTTGTGTAACAAGAGGCATTTGATCTGGACGTCATTTAAAGTTTCCGGAGAAGGGATTTCTTTAAGTCTGTTTTGTCTGCATGGTCAGCTACCAAGCTTAAAATGTCCTGTGTCAAGCAAATAGCTCACTGAATGCAATTCAGTATCAGCTGTAATTTAAAAAAAAAAAAATGTAATCTTGGTGCTTAAAAGCAACAGATTCATATTTGTTCTGTACCTGGCATAGCACACGGTGGGTTCCATACACTACAGAATAAGTTTTTCAAATTAGATGCCTGCCTTGCACTTTTTTTAGTTATCAGCAACAACAAAATGTTGTGATAAACAGCAAACCTACCAATGCTTTCCAGCTCTCTCGCCTGTAAGTTTGTTCTTCGGGAATTACCAGGCACTGAGGGAGGTGTTGCGGAATGTATTCCCTGAATGTTTTCGTTCCTCAAGGCAGAGTCGTTCGAGTCAGGGACGAGTGTTGTTTGACTTGGAGATGGGCTGTTACACGAGAAATGTCAATCCTTGTGGTTTGGAACAGAATTTAAGTTTTCTACCATTGCCAGAAACATTGAGCACTCTATTGCATTGGTGAAGACTGCTTCAGCCTACCAGTGTCTGTGTGTGTGTGTGTGTGTGTGTGTGTGTGTGTGGAGATGCACGCTGTGGTTTACTGCATGGGTCCAGATATGTTTCTGCTCAATTTGCCTAAGTATGTTCTTGCACTGGTGTAGCCAATACCTGTGATACAAATGTCTTAATCTGAACAGCTGTTTGTGGCAGTCGAATAGAGCTGCTTTCAAGTATCTCCCCACAGGAACATGTTTCCTGACAGCTGGGCAGAACTCTTGGATAGCTGCTATTGTCCGTGGAATGTAACACCGGGGTATGAAGGAATGTCGTTGGCACCACGTCTTAAATAAAAAGAAGTCCTGGGAGGAGCTGTACCAGTCATCGGCGGAGGATTGGCTCAGCACATGCAGATTGGGTGTGCAGACAGGATGTCGATGCAGTTCTTGCTCTTGCTGCAAGGAGTGGTAGAGTTCAGGTGAGGACAAGTTCACTTCATATATATAGATTTTTCTTATATATATATATAGCCTATTTGTAAGGAATCTGTCACTCAACAGGGCTTCAGATCTCAAAGCTCGTTGGATGTGGAGCAAAAAACCATGTACCAGAACTCAGACATTTGTCCTCCACGTGTCTCCGTATGTTTTCAGATGTCCACCCTACAGAGCACACCACTAAATATAAGAGACGCACCGATGTCTCCTCTCTAGGCCATGGGAAGCAATATATTTTAGGTAATATATGTGGTCAGTTGTTCCACAGATGTGTAGTGTGTGCAGCTGATTTTGCACAGTGTATTTTAACTCTTTTCAGGACCCAGCTCTTCCCAGCAGTTCTTAACACTGTGGCAGGAGTGGGTCATCAGGTTTACTGGCAGGTGCAAAACAAGTGAACACACACCACATTCAGCTTTCACTTAGGGAAACCTGGGGCTATAGTGTAGTGAAACACTCCAAAACATTTCAGGCTCTTTGTCCTGTTCCATGGAAGATCCCTATAGGATTCCTTATAGGAACTGAGGAACTCCAAAATGCTAAGAAAGGCCAAAGAAGTTGTTGGCATTCAGTGCTGGGGAAGCATAGGATTGGCCAGGAATGCAATGGTCTGTGCATTCATTTCCCATTAAAATGTTGTGATTGCAGTGAAGGACTCTAGAAATAGTGGGTATAAGCAGGTGAACTTTTCACTTTCAAATTAATATGAAAATGTAACTCAGTTCACAGAGGGATCAAGCGTTACAGGTGGTTGATGGCATAGGAGAACGTTGTCTGTTCTAGGACTAACACTTGACTTTGGTTTTGGGGATCTCTTGGTATTGAATCTCAAGATGCTGAAGTTTCACTAATGTCAGCAGCTGGAACTCTTCAGCAGCTAGTAGACCTTGGTAATAGGTCCTTCTCTTCTCCTTGCTGTAGCTGCATTAATCCCCCTCGCATACCACAAAATTGAAGTGGCTCAACCCTGCAGCATGGCACAGCAGCTTCTTTTCTTTGGGCTCTCACTTGAACATACAAGAGACATTTGGAAGAGAAGAAGCAAGCTCTGAATGGTAGAGGCACTTGGAATTAGACCGGACTTGAGGCCCAGTTATTTGGGCTGGCAATGAATTGCATTCGCATTACTCTGAGGCTCTTTTTGAAAGTTCAGCTTAGCGCCAGCAAATATCAGTGGAAACATGAAACCTACAGCCTTGTGGAATTGCCATGTTAACAGCCTCATTGTCGAGCCTGTCTGCCTATTGTCTTTTGAGCTCCTTTCCTGAAAATCTGGCTTCTGCCTTTCAGATACTCATATGCACGCCCTTCAGCCTTTGAGTCAGCATTCAACAGCTTAAAACTGTTGCATTGCAAAGGCCTTCAGAAGAGGCATCAGCAACTTTTATGCGGAGTGTTTATATACATATGTATATGGAATAGAGTTGTGTATATGTACATTCCCAATGAAGTCTTTCATTTTAAAATGCATACATATGCAATGCAATGGCTCTTAATTCTGTTGAGAGGCTTATAGCTTTTTTAACCTGTGACATTTACAGTATTACAGAAAAATGTGAAGGCATTTTTGCTTTTCATTTAATATAAATGCAGCACTGAAAAATATGTGTCGTTATAGGAATCCCAGAATCAGTCCTG